TTCTCTCACCCAGTATTTGAGGAAAAAGAGCAGTGCAAGGGAGGGGGAGATGCTGATGTGGGAATTTATTTCACCGGCTTCTAGAACATAACTCTCAGCTATGGCTATGGGAGCAATGACTTCAGGCAAGTTCAGCCAGATACTGTGCTAAAGTGCTTTTTATATGTTATCTCATTTAACCCTTACATCGACTCTAAGAGAGGGTCTTTTTTTTTTTTTTTTTTTTTAAACTAATCTCCATGCTGGGCTTGGACTCACAACCCTGAGATTGAGAGTCACGCTCAACTGACTGAGCTACTCAGGCACCCTTAAGTTTAGGTCTTATTATTATTATCATCCCCATTTTACAGATGAGAAGACAGGCAGAGGAAGGTTAAGTGGCTGACTTCAGGATCCCACCACAGGTCTGTGTGACTGCAGATCCCATGCTTTTAACCCATTGTACTTACTACCAGACTAGGTGTCCTCCCCTTTTATGTTCTCCCATGGCATCCCTTACTTTCCAGTTGGTAGCATGCGTTGCTCTTGGTGTAATTCATTCAGTGCCTGTCTTCCTCACTAGACTGCATATTCTATGAAATCTTACCCTATTCTTATTCCATGACACATGGCTTAGCACATGAGAGGCACTAAATAGCTATCTGTTTAATGAAAGTAAATCTATTAATTAAATTATGGCAAGATCTCTTTCTAAGAGTTCTAGCTGACTAACAACTACTGATCTTTTATTGTCATTGGTGAGTTGGGGTGGTGGGGTGTGCAAAGTGAGTACGAGCTTTGAGTTCTATGATGGAGCTAGAGAGCCTAGGCACCCATAAGAATCACCAGGAACCACTGAACACGGCCTGCAATTTGAGTGCTGCGTTGTATGGACATAACTTCAAATAGGAAATCCAAGTGCTTCAGAAGGAATTTTCCATTTCTTCCTGGATGATTTAGATCTTTCCATATCCAAGTGCTTTTCCTTTGCTGGGATCTATTTATAGCAGAGGGACAAATGAACAAGGACTGATAGCAGGACGGTCATGTTTAGGCTGTCATATTTCCAAGCTGCCACAAGATGGGAGTATTTTAAAACTTTGCTCTGATTTTCTGATCATTAATGTTTGTGGGCCATATGATGATGAAACCTCAGTGTCCCAATGCAGCACACTGGAACTCAGAAAAACAAACATGGCTCTGTCTTTGCTGTCGGAAATTTGACTCATGAGATTGCCAAAGGGAAATGGATATTAGAGCAAGAGAATTCACAGTTGTTGGTGTGTAACTGTTATGTGCTGCATTTGAAAATAAACAACTTTAGTGTAAAATGAAAAAAATGACTGAAACAAAAATTTAGTTTTTTGCCTGAATGCAGTCTCTTTTGTTTCTCAAGCTCCCCAAATTGAAGCAACTTTAGTCTTCTAATGATTCACCATTATCTTGGCCTTTGGTTCCAGTGTAGAAATTCGACTGCCTGTGATGCATATTGAGGACGGCTACTATCAAACTTTCTACGGCGTCTCTGGCCCCTCAGGCAAATAGCAAGTGCGTTTTAAGTGTCCTGGGACAGAGATTAGTTGCAGAAATTCAAATTGCAATTGGTACAATACACCAAGGTAGAGAGGACGGAAGAGCTGATGGCCAGTGAAGTGTGTATTCTAGCCGATGTGCAAAAAAGCCCAACTGCAAAGAAATCCATTAACAATAGACGGTGAGCTTGGCTACAATGGGGGATGCTTTAATGCTTTTTGAGACTGTTGTCCTAAAGGTGGAGGGAAGCAATAGACCAGGAAAGGAAGGACGAGGATAGGGAGTTTGGCCAGATCACAGGAAGGACTAGCAAGCACTGCAGGTTCCTGCAGCCACAGCAGCAAATCCAGAAAGACCAACGCAGGCTTTTATTTATCACCCCTTCAATCACCACCGAGGCCTGTGATTGCACACTCTGCAGGAGGGACTTAATTGGCTCCCAGCTTCTCTCAGGTGTTGTATGCCCAGGCACGTGGGCCAGTTTCCACACAGAACAGTGAGCCGAGAGAAGTGCTTCTTAACATTGTTGCCCTGTTGGCTGGGATGCCCAGCAGATCCCAGCCCCTCTACTCAGGGGGTACGACTCACTCCCCAGGCCCACAGTTGTGGCAGATGTTCATTCCGCTTCATTCCTACCATCCTGGTTCTCCTTACCTCGGCTCACAGAATTCTAGCGTGTCAAAGATCTAACAGAAGGAGAACAGAAGCGAGGTCAAATGACTTGCCCAAGAAGCAACCCCAACGCAAAGCTCTCTGCCCACATTTTCCTGTCCAACTCAGCCAAATATGCTCTTTTTCTAAGTCCACCTCACAGCTTCATCTTTAAAGTCCTAGAGTATTTATTGTCAAATCTGTGTCTCAATTACATACTCTCTGGTGTTGGTCACTGGTACTTTCTGATTCCCTGCAAGATGCTAAGCCCCTTGAACACGGGGTCGTAATGTAACCACCAGAGCTTCTAAACTTTAATGTGCACATGGATCACCTAGAAGTCTAGTAAAAAAAAAGGAAATTCTAAATCAGAAGGTCTGGGGTGGGGCCTGAGACCCTGCATTTCTAAGGCATTCCCTCCTTAATGGTGTTCTACTTAGCACAGCACTTGGTAGCTGACTGCTGCTTTCCTTTAGAAACGCTGCAGGAATCCGTCTTATCTGATAGACATTGGTTTTCCTGTCTGCAGTGTGTTCAAGGGGTAATAAGAGTTTGTCTTTGTTATGGGGAGGCAGAGTAGTGTGGCTGCTTAAAACATGGGTTTTGAGCCACTCAAAGTAAAAGCTAATATTTACCAACTACTTGCTTTGTGTTAGGCACTGTGATGAGCACTTTATATGCATTATTGGATTTAATCTTTTGAAAGAAAAATGCTAAGTAAAACACAAAACGATTGTGTTATGTTTGGGCTTTCAGACAGTAAATATCAGTTGCTTAAGTCATTTCTCTCTCTCTAGGACTCCACATCGTCTATAGATTTTGAAGACAGTGCCCTTTTAAGAAAAGCTTAGTAAGTCAGCTAGGATTTTTATATCAGCTGATAGTTTATTTATTTATTTATTTATTTATTTAAAGATTTTTATTTATTTATTTGACAGAGAGAGACACAGCGAGAGAGGGAACACAAGCAGGGGGAGTGGGAGAGGGAGAAGCAGGCTCCCCACTGAGCAGGGAGCTTAACGACTGAGCCGCCCACGCGCCCCTCAGCTGATAGTTTAAAAATCATGACTGATTTGTCACAATAACCAGCGTTTTGTGCCTTATATGAATATGTGGAAAGTGTTTCAAAAGAATTTGAATCAACTGAAAGATAATGGGTGTTTAACTTGCATAAGTCAGTTAAGTGAATTATGAATTTATTAGTACAAAGTTATAAATCTTATTTCTGGGTTTCGGGGTCTCAAGAATACTAAATTTGGCCAAAGCAAAAAGGCATTTGTCTTGAGACTTCTTTAGAATTCAAAATATAACTAGCGAGTATTTGTTGATTAAAAATTTGATTTTCATTCTCTAAAGGAAAACTCATATTTCTGATCCATTTTTTTTTCTTAAGAGGAACGTGTGTGCATGTATATATATGTATTTGTGTGTCTCCACAGGAACTCTTTCACCTAAGTACTATTGTCCTCATTTTAAAGGTGTGGAAACTGGAACTCCATGAGATTAAATGACTTGCCCACTCTTACACTGCTACTAGGACCTGACCCAGGATACAAATTCACATTATTTTCTTAACCATTTATTTTGAGAAATTAAGAACTACAGAAAAATTTCAAGAATGGTACAGTGAACATCCTATACCTTTCCTCTAGATTCACTGGTTGTTACTATTTACAAAGCCCACATTCTTAACCACTCTACCATTTATTTGGCATATTGTGACCTTAGGATATTACACAACCTCTCTGTGATTGATTTCTTTATATGCAAGTGGATAACAATATCTATTTTGAGAGTTTTATTTTTTTTTAAGATTTTATTTATTTATTTATTTATTTATTTATTTATTTGAGAGTTAGGGAGAGAGAAACAGCATGAGAGGGGAGAGGGTCAGAGGGAGAAACAGGCTCCCCGCTGAGCAGGGAGCCCAATGCGGGACTTGATCCCCGGACCCTGGGATCATGACCTGAGCTGAAGGCAGTCGCTTAACCAACTGAGCCACCCAGGCGCCCTATATTGAGAGTTTTAAAGATGAAGATGAAGTGGGGTGCCTGGCTGGTTCAGTCGGTAGAGCATGTCACTCTAGATCTCAGGGTAGTGAGTTCAAGCCCCATGATGGGCATAGAGCTTACACATACAAAAGAAGTAAAAATGAAGATGTAGTGAATAATGTATTCTCCCAGCAAATGTTTATTGAGCTCCTACCATTCTGGATGAATACAAGGTATAAGTCAGAAAAAAGCAAGATAGTACATTGTATGCCCTCATAAACTCAGATATTGGGGGACAGACAGTGAAGGGACACAGTGGGTAAATTCAGGTGGTCTAAGCACTGGGAGGAGACAAAGCCTTTAGACAGAGCAGCTGGAAGGCTTCCTGGTGGAGGTGACCTCTAGCCTGAGGCTTGACTCATAAAAAGGAGTGAACCGTGTATAGATGGGAGCAGAATGGGCCAGCCTACCTAGAGTGGATGCTGAAGACCTTTTTATTCCACAAAAAAGGGAGATTGTGGAGTTTCCCTTTGTGGAGATTGTTTAGAAGAGAACATATGCTCTCAGGTAGACTAGATAATAATCTGATGAAAGATAGGGCTGGCCGGTAGGTTTTTCAGAGTCTGTTCTAGCTTTGTGCATCTACAGCTCTTCATGGAGAGCTACAAGCATAGATTTCTGAGAAACAATCTTTGTAAAAGTGTCTTGACTTCCTTGTCAATTATTTCCTTTGAGGCATGTAACTTTTAATATTAATAAGCTGTATTATTAACTAATGGCAGTTGCTGTCCAAGGAAGTCTGATTTGTGTTTCTGGAGTCTCAGTGAACTTTTGTTTCTAATTTAGAAATTGGATGAAGACATGCATCAAAAAATTGCAAGAGAAATGAACCTCTCTGAAACTGCTTTTATCCGAAAACTGCACCCCACTGACAACTTTACACAAAGTAAATATGCTTTTTTTTAAGCCATTCTTGGACGGTACCAGAAACTGCTTTTCCAGTGGGGGAATGATATTTCAGAGAGATTTGCATGCAGACAGGAGAGAAGGTGGGGAGATTCTGATTTGGTTTTCAGTTTGTCTGGGGAGAGCAGATGTTGAGTAATTTGAATGTTTCAGCTCCAGATCTGGCACCGGGGAGCCCTAGGATGCTGGCCTAGACTTCACTCTTCCTTCACAATGCATTTCAGCTATTAATCATGCTAGGGAAACATTGAGAAAAGAATAAGAAAATGAAAAGTTTGTGACCCACTTGTATGGGAGTGATCTCATCTCTCGTTGGCTTTTCCTCCTCTGAAGGTTCCTGCTTTGGATTGAGGTGGTTTACGCCGGCGAGTGAGGTTCCCCTCTGCGGCCACGCTACCCTGGCTTCCGCGGCTGTGCTGTTTGAGAAGATAAGTAATGTGATTTTCTTTTATGAACCTGTCACTGAGCAAATAGCAAGTATTTTTTAAAATTCTCACGCTTTGTGATGAATCAAAGTCCCTGCTATCAAGACATTACAGAGTCTATTCATGTCATTCATGATGCTGAAACAAATACAGCCCCCCGAAACTTTGGCCTTTCTGATTATGTGCCAGGCCTGTTGGAAAGCTCTGGTCGTTGTTCCCTAGAATGCCATTTTATTCTGAACGGGAGCTCTCTGGTCTCTGACCAACACAGGAGGGGAGCTTGCAATACACAATAGGCGTCTCACATGATGTGGCATCGGGGAACCATAAGTCACATTTTGCTCCAAATATGTCCCCACCCACACTGAGATTCATTTCACGAGAGCTGCTTCTTCTTTTTTTTTTTTAAAGTAAACTCTACGCTCAACATGGGGCTTGAACTCACGACCCCAGGATCAAGAGTCACATGCTCTATGGACTAAGCCAGCCAAATGCCCCTCACAAGAGCTTCTTTACTTTGAAGTTTAAAGATTCATGAGCCACGGCTATATACATTTCCCTTGTGAAGAGAGGATGCTGCACCTCAGTCCTACCAGTTTTCATCTTCGCTACATTTAGTATAATAAAGATCAGGGCTCTGTGGCAATGAGCCAGGCAGAGGAGAGATGCCCAGAAATGCCCTAAAAGTGGAGATGGAAGCAGCCATGAAAAGGTGTAGACAACAAACAGAAAGTTAAGCAAGGAAATATACAGGATGATACGACAGAGTGTAAGAGTGTAAGTGGAGAGAGCAGCATTGGAAAAGGAGGTTCTCTGGGGAGTTACTTAGATGGGGAGGGTACGGGGAGGTGTTACAGGGCGAGTTCCCCTGGGAAGCACATTGCATGCTGGGAGAATTGTGGGCAGTATTCTTGGAGTCAATATTGGCAGGGAGTAAAGAAAGCAGAATAGAACAGAGGAACACGTTGAACTGCGAAGTGGTAGCAACAAAGAAAGGTGTAGGCCAAATCCACAGGGAGATCTGAAACTGCAACCATCCTTCAAGTAGTATAGTTCCAAATAGAAACAAAGGTGCAGGCCTTTATACCCTCCATTGATCAGCCTCCAATGCCCAGAAAAGCAGCCTGACTTCGGGTAAAGTAGCTCTACTCACCCAAGGGCGATTCACAGAGTGGGACTCAGCTGAGAGCAGTCAGTCACCAACACCCCTGGCAGCTGGGGCAGGGCCTTCAGGCTGCTCCTGAGAGCAGGTGCCTCCTTAAATGCATGCCTCTGTATTTCCTTGCCTCGCTAGTCCTGACCTTCGGAGGGGAAGGTTGAGATGCTGGACCGCAGCATCCACTAGAGAAGGGGACTGTCAGGCTGAAGAATATCAAGCCATGTGTGCAAAGAATTCGAGTGGGAGGAGGAGTATTTGGGCAGAGGCAGCAGCAAATGCAAAGCTCCTGAGGAGTAGTCTGTATACCTGGAGTAGCTGGAGTTTCCCTGGGGGGGGGGCGCGGGGGGTGACTGGCAGGAGATAACATTGAGGCCCCTCTATAATGTAACCCATGATATGTCTTAACAAGATAATTTTGGTTTCTGTGGATAGGGGACAAGAATGAGGGCAGGCAAATACCCTGAAATATTGCTTAGGAACTCAGTCTTGAAAAAAGATTTTACTGAAGTTGGATTGAGTGCCTTTTGAAAACCCCACATTGTTTGGTGTGGGGCAGAGATTTAGAATAATTGCCTTCAGATCGATCCCCCACAGGGTGGTCTTAAGGTTTGATAAGATAAAATATGAAAAAATGCTTTGCAAATAATGATGTCTTCCACCATTTATAATGAGAAAAATTAAACTTTGGGCTCTGGAGTATACATTTTATATTCAGTGAAAGTTAATCAACAATGCCAAATTTCCTTACCTTTTAGATATGGTTAAGTTTTACAGAAATATTAAGGGGGGAAAAAGAATTAGGTCACAGATCTTTGTTTTCACTGAAAATGTTACCCACATTGAGGTCAGATAAGTGGTCCAAGTTGTATCAGTAACATGAAGGGCTAGTATACCAGCATTTGCGGTCCAATTTTTAAATAAAAAATTTATGTGTAGCTTGGTTTATTTAGGGTAAGCTTGATTTGTTTCTAGTAGACTGTCATTCATAATTTGTATATTCTTTTTTTTTTTTTAAGATTTTATTTATTTATTTGAGAGAGAGAGAATGAGAGTGAGCAAGCACATGAGAGGGGGAGGGTCAGAGGGAGAGGCAGACTCCCTGCCGAGCAGGGAGCCCGATGCGGGACTCGATCCAGGGACTCCAGGATCATGACCTGAGCCGAAGGCAGTCGCTTAACCAACTGAGCCACCCAGGCGCCCCCATAATTTGTATATTCTATTTGTCATCCCCTTGGCATATTTTAGACTGGTATTATTTGTAACAATCTAGTATTATAGGTGGATATTTAAAATCTGCATTAGAAAACACTGTTTCATCCCTATGAGGTAGGTTTAATTATTCCCCCATTTTACTGATGAGGAAATTGAGGCTTAAGGAGGTTAAATAATTTGCTTAAGGGCACAGTTGGTCAGCATAAAGGAGCTGGCCTTTGAAGCCTTGCAGTATGATGTCAAGTCCAACCAGTTTTGTTCTTGGTTCTCAGGTGAGAAGCTGGTGGGGGCTATCTCTACTCTGGACCCCAGTAATCCAAACCTGAACCCCTCCTTTCAGGAAAAGCCAGGGAATCTAAGACAATGCAGTAGTGATCAAAACAGATGTGCAAATATGTAACAAAGTTAATTTTCCTATTTCTTGATTTCCTTTCAGAGAGTTTTCTGATTGACAAAGTAAGACTTTTTTTTTTTTTTTTTTTGCCAGAAAACGTGAATAACACTCTAACCTTTGTCACTCTGAGTGGGGAACTGAAGGCCAGAAGAGCAGAGGACAGTATTATCCTGGATCTACCTCTTTATCCTGCCCACCCCCAGGTCAGCTCTTTCTAACTATTGCCATGAACCGTATTAACTGACAGCTTGCGTGCCTGACAGTGGTCTTGTCTTTTTCCCCATCTAGGACTTCCATGAAGTGGAGGACTTGATAAAGGTTGGTGAAAAGAATTAAACCTAAGCTCGTGTGATTTGGTCATTTATTGTTTGAACACAAAGGTTCAGTACCATTTGGGGGCACCCGGGTGGCTCAGTCAGTTAAGCATCTGCCTTTGGCTCAGGTCATGATCCCAGGGTGCTGATCAAGCCTGGGTTGGCCTCCCTGCTCAGCAAGGAGTCTGCTTCTCCCTCCCTCTATGCCCCTCCCCCTGCTTGTGCTTTCTTTCTTGTTTGCTCTCTTTCTCTCAAGTAAATAAAAAAATCTTAAAAAAAAAAAAGATTCATGGCACCTGGGTGGCTCAGTCGGTTAAGCGTCTGCCTTCAGCTCAGGTCGTGATCCCGAGGTCTTGGGATCGAGCCCCGCATCTCCCTCTGCCTCTTTCTCTCTCTCTCTGTCTCTCATGAATAAATAAATAAAATCTTAAAAAAAAAAAAAAGATTCAGTACCATACGACCCCCAAAGATAGGCCTTCTATCAGTATAAGCGTTCCAGCCTAAGCTTGGATGAAAAGTGCATGGTGCATTTGAGGTGTGAATTTTAATGTTGAATCTATTTGGTGAGAAGCTTGAGCAGTCGTCCCTGGCTCTTCATTGCCAGATTAGCCTCCGCGAAGGAAGGGGGAGGAGAGACTGCTGTGTGGTGGGCCGAGCGTGAAAGCAGTGGAAACTGCTGGGCAGGGCGGCCTGGATTTCTGTGGTGGAGAATGAGGCTGAGGTGAGAGGCTGTGCTTTGATGGAGGAGGACAAGAAAGCTCGGGCAACTTGATAGAGAAGGCAAGATTCATAGCCTGGCTTCCTCAAGAGGTCTAGGAAGGGGTGGTCCTTCATGAGAATAACAACGATCATGCTAATGAACATTTTTGAGACTTGCCCCTGGGCAGTACCAGGTGCTAAGCTTTTCACATGCATCATCTCACTTAATACTGTCACTGGGTGAGGTAGGCACTACAATCGTTCTATGGGGATTCCAGGGGGCCCGAGCAGCCCTGCATGACCCGGTTCTTAGTCTGTAGAGAAGGAAGGGCCCCATCAGGATCAGGGCAAGGGCTGCAGTGAGAAAACCAATTCTCACTAAATGGTCTACCCTGGGTACCGCTGGGGTGTTTCTCAGTGAATGTTCAACTACAGCATTTATAATCTTTAGTGTCTGGCATTATCTATGTTTTTCAAAGAGTAGAAGCAAGCATTACAGATTCTGATTTTACACTCAGCCCCACCTATGGCTTGGGTTTTGGAAGACAAGCCAACATTCATAAATGAACTGCTTTAAGCAAGTTGACAAGAAAATGGACAATATTCACAGTACAGACCTTGTTCATGGTAGAAAGAACTTAATGCGGTGTCTCTAAGCTTCAGGGTCAGCATTTGTAAAGTGGGGATGACAAAGGGTTATGTATCCTGAGTATTGTTGTTTTGTGTTCCTAGAAACTGGTCATAAGATTCTCAGCTGAGAATTAGACTTTCAAATTGACATCAGAATTCATGCAGAGGAGGGCTGAATGACCCCTCGGAGAAGCTGAAAGGCCCAAGAACAGACAGGCTCTGGCTGCAAGAGTTTCCATTTCCAGAGGGAGGGACATTGTTCAGCTGTGGTCGCTGGGGTAGACAGCCGAGGCACCACCCAAAGTGGAGGGAATCTTGGCTTTGGGACCTGGAGCATCTCAGTCCCTAAAGAAGATTAGAGAACCTGAAGCAACCTGAAGCCAGACAACTACCATGTAATTCTCATCTGCTCTGCCTACAGCCAGTGGGGGTGCCAAAGGGTGACTTGGAGGGGCTTCCCCCACTCATCATCCCCTCAGCACTCCAAGTCAACAAGCAAACAGACAAACAAGTTCTAGGATATGAGCAAGATTATGTGCAGTCTCAGGTAAAGGGTGAACCCAGGTATCTTTAGAAAATGTTGCTACATTACTGATCTGCAGCATACAATCTAAGTGAAAACAGTGCTTGCCACGCAGAGCAGCATTAAGATGTGTTCTAGTCCCCAGTTCCATTCAAACTGCTGGCCCTGGGTCCTTGCCATGTAGAATCTTCTAGTTACTGCTGCTGCGACTCCACATATATTATTTCATTTAATCCTTCCTCACAACAATGCTAAGAGGTGGGCCTGAGGCCCCCATTTCTACCCCCATTTCTATAGACAGGAGACAGTAGTGATTCAGAGCTTTGACTCCAGGGCCCCTCAGACCTGGGTCAAGGTGTGTGTGTGTGTGTCTGTCCCTGTCCCTGGGCCTAAGTCTTGCTCCTTATTTGTGAGGAAAATGCCCATTTGAAGGATTAGCGTGTTGAGGCATATAGTAATACTTGTGAACAATGCTTTTCTTCGGCTCTTAGAGGGTGAGCTCAACCCCCTTAAGGGTCTCTGGTCTCCAGAAAACTGGCCTTCCTTGGGCAACACCTTGAGTCCTGAAACTGAACTAAAACTCTTGGGATTGGGGACATTGGGTATGCCTGGCACACAGGAGATGCTCATGAGAGGCTGTTCCCCATATAGAAGATCAATGATTTGACCCAGGGTGCACTCCTGAGGAGTTTTTGGTCTGTCTCCACAGACTGCCATAGGTGATATCCTAGTCCAAGACATCCGCTATTCTCCAGATACCCGAAAGCTCCTTGTCCGGCTCAGTGATACTTACAAGAGGTAAACAAGATTTTTGGCTTTGGCAGCACTTTGAGGAGGGCTGAGAACCCAGATTTATTAGCCCTGGCTTTGTCTGGCCGTGCTAGGTCCAGTCAAACCATGATTTATGCAGTCAGAGAGTTTTGTTCCTAGGGAGGAAGATATTCTACTTGCTCTCTCCTCCCCTCCTGCTGAGCCCTTTGGGTAAAAGCTGTACCCTCACTTGCTCTACAGAGTCTGTATAGTGGTCTGTGAGATGGGTTTGTCCTAATCCATCCCATTCATGAACCAGGTCATTCCTGGAGAACCTGAAGGTGAACACACAGGATCTGCCGCAAGTGGAAAACACAGGGAAGGTGAAAGGACTCATTCTCACCCTTAAAGGAGAGCCTGGAGGGCAGACCCAAGCATTTGATTTTTACTCCAGATATTTTGCACCGTGGGTTGGTGTGGCTGAAGACCCTGTAACAGGTACTTTTTGACTTGGGTCCTGGGGAGGGTTCAACAGTGGAGGAAAGTAACAAATAGCTCTTTAAGTGCCCTTCACACGACCTTTCAGGTTGTTGGGTTTTGAGCTGTTTTTGTTTCCCTAGCTTCCCCTCCCCAGTCTTTCACTGAAGTCTCGAGTGAAAACTACAGAATTTAGGAGACAGTATATATAGCAGGGTTAAACCTTCACGTCCGACAGCCTGGGTTTTCGTCCTAGCTGCCGAGCTGTTGACCTTGGGCAAATGACTTAACTTTTTTTAAAGTTTCTATTCCCCTTGTTGTGATGAGCCCTGGGTGTTACATGTAAGGGATGAATCACTGAATTCTACTCCTGAAACCAATATTACACTATATGTTAACTAACTAGAATTTAAGTAAAAAATTTAAGTAAAAAAAATAAAGTTTATATTCCCTCCTCTATAAAGTATGAGTAATATTTCATAAGGTTATGTAAAAACAATGCATGGCAAATGCTTAGCACAGTGCCTGGCACATGATAAGCACCCAATAACTCTTAGCTATTTTAATAATAATGACAGAACTGGTTCCCTGAACCAATGCTTCCAGATCTGCCATTTGCAAAATTCAGGGGCCAATTTCCACTATAGTCACAAAGCCTTTTGTTTTTTTCAGTGACCAGCCTGTGTGATCATTGGCACCTAAATAAGATTTATTTTTTGAAGGATAAGTTCCTGGGTTGTAGGTGGGAGATACAGACAGGAATAGCTTTCCCAGACCTGCCCCCAAAGTGGGTGGGATGGGTTTGGGAACATAGGTATTCAAGATCTACCAACCAGAAGCAGAGGGATGAAATCAAAGACGGGCAAGAATGTGAAGCTTCCTCCTTTCATCCTCTTAGAGAAGAGTGGGCTGAGCAGAAAAGGGGGGGATGCTTGATGGAGGAGGCTGGCGGATGGGATGGTGGTCAGGGCAGAAGGAGGCTGGGAAGAACCTCTGAGGCTCCTGCTCTGAACAGAAGACAGAGACTGGGATTGTTTCAGGACTTTGACCTAGTTACTCTATGAGAAACAAAACATGAAATTCAAAGCTCAGCAAAGCATTTTCTTAAAGACTCAGGAAAATGCCCAATGACATCCAAACAGTAGAGCTTGACCCTCCCCCATGGAAAAGAAGTTTTGAGTGGATTTACATATGCTTCACAAAGATTTTAACTGCTACAGAGAGAAAGTGTTTTCCCCTGTAATAATGCTTTTCTAAAGTGGGAAGGTCTTTGGACAGTGATGATCAACCATCTCAGCTTGCTTGAGACTGAAGGATTCCCCAGCATACAGGACCTTTGGTGCTAAAACCAGGACAGTCTTGGGCGAACTGGGATGACTGGTCATCCTAGGTGGACCTCCCATGATATTTAGTAAGTTTTCCTGAAGAAAACCCATCCTTTTCTCCCAGTTATGACTTTACATTTTGTTTCTTCATTTTAATATCTATTCACTGATCTAAAACTAGGGCACAATCAAGTGAAAAAAAATGCCTCACTAAAACAAAGTTCTTTTGGCACTAAAAGCCTAAAAATCTTGGCTTGGTGGAAAATTGAACCTTTTGTCAGAGTTCCCAGTTTTCCTTGCATGTTCATCGTTGGAGGAAGGAGATACTTCCCTTGAAAGATTAGAGAAAGATTTAGAGGAAGCACTTGATCTTCCTACCATGGCCTGACAATGAACTGATAGACAGGACAAGAATTAAAAACTGCAGTTTAACTAATTCAAAAAGATATATGCACCTCTATGTTTATTGCATTATGTACCATAGCCAAGATATGGAAGCATTATGTACCATAGCCAAGATATGGAAGCAACCCAAATGTCCATCGATAGATGAATGGATAAAAAAGATGTGATGTGTGTATATACACATACCTACACACACACTAGAATATCATGCAGCCATAAAAAAGAATGAGATTTTTGCGATTTGCAACAACATGGATGGACCTAGAGGTATTATGCTAAGTGAAATATGTCAGACTGAGAAAGACAAATACCATATGATTTCACTCATGTGTGGAATCTAAGAAGCAAAACAAATAAACAAAAAGCAGAATCAGACCTATAAATACAGAGAACAAACTGATGGTTCCCAGAGGGAAAGGGGTTAGGGGGATGGGTGAAAAGGGTGAAGGGGAGTGGGAGGTACAGGCTTCCAGTCATGGAATGAATAAGCCACAAGAATAAGAGGCACAGTGCAGGGAATATAGTCGACAATATTGTAATAGCATTGTATGGTGACGGATGGTAGCTACACTCGTGGAGAGTATAGGATAACGTGCAGAGAAGTTTAATCACTATGTTGTACACCTGAAACTAAGGTGACATTGTGTGTCAGCTAGACTCAAATTAAAATATTAGAAAAAAAAGACCCTGCAGTTTAATTCGGCCTGCAGAAAGTGTAAAACATAGCAGATACATTATTTGGAGGAACTTATCCATAAAATCTGTGTCTTCTTTTCTATGTCCATTCATTATTCCACACTCTGCTGTGGCCCTGGCCAACATCATGATCAAGTCATTTAAGGTTTAGTCAAACCAGATAGTTGGTTGTAATTGCTTATCAATTTACCACAATGCCACCCCTGTTTTTGTATCATAACTTTTCACTTCTTTTAAGGGTCTGCACATGCTGTTCTCAGCAGCTACTGGTCCCAGCAACTGGGGAAGAAAGACATGCATGGTAGGAGAGTTTTTTTTTTATTTAAAAAAATTTTTTTCTAACTTTAAGCTAGCATTCCTTCTCATATGTACCATTGATTTGAAGATGTAATAAAATGTCATGTGTCACCCATATGAAAATGAAAGGTTTTATGTTGCTTCACTCTGAATCCTCTACTCAGAATATCTTCCACCCCTGTCCCCCCCAAAACACAGACACACTTCTAATACAGTAAGTGCCCAAGTATTGTTTGTTGAATAAAATTAACTGGCTGTATAGCTTTGGCCCAGTGAGGTTATTTAGAATGTCACAAGTTGAGATGGGATGATTGCCAAAGTTCCTTATTGCCATTGCTAGTCACGGGATTGAATCAAACAAATTGCTTTTGAACCAAGTCCCCTAATGACTTTGGGGGGTGGAGAGGAAATAGATTGCAGCCAATGGAGGCTACACAGTTCCAATAGTCAAAGTAGGAATCTGACCCTCCAGGATGGGAGGTCTGACCTAGTGGGAGGGTCAGGCCTCTGTGACTCTGATTTGGGGATAGCAGGTTGGCTGGTCTTTCTTTGGTGAGCCTAGTTTCTCCCTTACGCCCCGAACTCTAGGAAGGTGGAGACTGTTCAGTTGCTTGATAAGCACAATGGGTAAACAAGCTCCCTTTGTCCTCTTCAGACCTGGAAAGATGGGGCTCTCTCAGGAGGGCCAAGATCACCCCTCTTTATCTTTTTAAACTTCTAGTCCGTGCCTCTATCTTATCACAGGTCCTCACTTACTCCCAGACAGAAGCGGGAAGGAAGCTATGCGCGGGGTGTGTCCAGGACATTACAGGAAGTGACAGAGGAAATGACTGAGGAAGAGAAGATGTGGAGCTGTGTGTTTTGTGGCTCAAATTGCGTTTGTGGTCCCTCAGTCCTCAGAACAGGGCAGGCTGAGCAGTGCTACGGACAGAGGAAGGAATTTATTCTTTCCACTGAGCTGGGAGGGTTTTGGAGCTTGTAAGAAGAGAGAGGTCTTCCACTATGTTCTGTGAATTCGAAAGGGTGAAGACGAACAATATTAACTCGTGACTTGTTTTATGTTTTCTTTAGCCTTTCAGTGTTCCCACCGAGGAGGAGAGCTGGAGATTTCTCTGCGTCCTGATGGGCGGGTTGACATCAGGGGCAGCACTGCTGTTGTTCTAGAGGGCACGCTGACAGCCTAGAGGTGGCTGTGGTTCAATGCTGAGATTTTGAATGACTAAGTGTTTTCTGCACAAAAAGAAATGGAAGCGGCTGCCTTTACCAAACTTGCACAATAGTTCACTTCATCCCCACGATAGAAATAGAAAAATGAAGACATATTAATGGAAATTTCATCATGCTTACTGACTAATTAATTTATGGAGTTTTGGCTTTGCCTGCGAGTGTATTTGACATAGAAGTAACCAGTAACAAAGAATGATGTTGTCACCTCAATTATGACTACCGATCACAGAATGAGGAGTACATTTATGAGGAGTAAGATCAAACCATTTAAACTTAGGTGTGAGTGGGCGCCTGGGTGGCTCAGTTGGTTAAGCGACTGCCTTCGGCTCAGATCATGATCCTGGAGTCCCTGGATCGAGTCCCGCATCGGGCTCCCTGCTCGGCGGGGAGCCTGCTTCTCCCTCTGACCCTCCCCTCTCTCATGTGCTCTCTGTCTCTCATTCTCTCTGTCTCAAATAAATAAATAAAATCTTTAAACTTAGGTGTGAGTATCTGATAGACCATTTTGTAGCCGTTAAAAAGACGCAATAACTATGTGGAAATATTGAAAAGTATCTCATGACACAATACTAAGAAAGGGAATTACAGTGGACTACAAAATGTTAGCAGTGTTATGTTTATATCTATGGACAATATGAATATATATGGACAAAGATGGGTCATGAAAATAGAAAGGTGACAACTGTTCATGTGTGTGTGTGTGGGGGGGTAAGATTGGGAGTCATTTTAAGGCACCTAAAAAATTATTTCCCTTACTGGAACACACTCATGTTCAATAACTAAAAAATCAGGACATATAACAGAATAACCCAAAAACCCAGATATTTCAAAAAATGTATATGTATTACTGTGGTAATAAAATGAAACTCTAAAAGCAATATAATATCTTTGTCTTGATGTATAGTTTTAGAGTGTAACTTAAAAAGCATTCTTCTCTTACCTTAATAAAATTGGTTCTAACATATTTTCAATTCAGTTAAATCTGTAATGTTGAATACCTATAATTGACTTTGGGATGGGGACTTTTTCAAGTCATTAACAGTGTTTGTTTAAGGTAATCTCATTGATGGCAATTCTCAGCCATCTCAAAAACTGCAAGCTAATCAGTTAGAAATGCCCATAGTGTCTCAATTTTTGTCACCTTACTGCTACCATGCTTTCTATTTTTATTTATTTTTGCTAAGGCATGTGACAGTGAATTTATTCTAGCAGTAATCTTGTGTTTCCCCTAATTTGCAATGAAGTAAACAATTCACTGGCTTCAGGGCTTTAGCTTAATGAGTAACCAATGACCTGCCACATAGCTCACCCCTTCTCCCAGCTCATCAGTGGGTTACACCACGGGTAAGAATCACTGGAGGGTTTTCACAAAGTGCAAAGTTTTCTCCACCTTGAACTGAATTGTATGAATGATTTTATATAAATGCATAGTTGTAAGGGTCTGAATTTTATCTCCCCAATGTATGCTAAGTTCTTTTCAAAAATTATTATTTTTAAAATTCCAGTATAATTAATATACAGTGTTATATTAGTTTCAGGTGTGCAATATACTGATTCAACAATTCTATATACCCAGGGCTCATCACGATAAGCACACTCTTAATTTTCTTCTAAGTTCTTAATAGATATTTTTGGGATACGAGTCCCTGAGGTGATTCTGAATTCTTTTTGCATGAAAGTTGCTATTTCAAACATCTGAGTTGACTTTTCATCTTATATTTTTAAAGATTTTTATTTATTTATTTGATATATAGAGAGGGAGAGCATAAGCGGGGTGGGGGTTGGGGAGGGGCAGAAGGAGTGGGAGAAGCAGACTCCCCACTGAGCAGGAAGTCCGACTCGGGGCTCGATCCCAGGACCCTAAGACCTGAGCTGAAGGCAGATGCTTAACCGACTGAGCCACCCAGGTGCCCCTTCATCCTATATTTTTAAACTCTATATTCACTTTTGTAAGTGACTTTTAAAAAATTGTCCATTTAGAAATGAGCAGTTGAAGTAGAATAGCCAGGGCAACTGATCATACTTACTGTGTTTACTGGGTCAACCTGGTCAAAGGTTGAGAGGCTGTAGGGGCCATAGAGCTCCAGAAGTAGCAGCCGAGGAAGCAGGGGTGAGGGCCAGAGAAGCATACCTAAATAGATAAATAAGAAGAAATGAAATGACATCTGTGGGTAGCAGGAGCAAAGAGCTTCTAGAATTAGCATACTGTGCAGAGTGAGTTTTTTGCTGATATAAGTAGGGCAGGTTTCAGGGTACAGTTTTCCCCTGTTTCTTCTGCTTCTGCCCACCTCTTACCTACCTGGTCTTACTAAGAGTGGGCATAGGGGAATGTGTAGGGAGATTGTTAGAAATGTATCCCAGCACTCAAGTATAATGTTGCCATTGCTTGAAAAAAGTGCTACCATCAAAGTCGGCATCCCCTGGCGTAATGAGTTAGACTGAGTTATCTTAATGTAGGAAATACCTACAAAATCACAGAGGCTTAATATAACAAACTTTTATCTTCATTCCTATCACTTGTCTAGTACAAGTCAGGAGGGGTTCTGTTCCATGGTCCTGCAGGGGCCCAGGCTGATTTTGCCTTCTGCTATTTCAACATGTGACCTCTGTGGGTGCTGCGGCAGGAGGAAACAGTGTATGGAAGTCTCACTCTATTTGCCTCAGAAGTGATAGGTGTCAATTCTGCTCATAGCTTATTGGCTGCAACTGGTCATATACCCCCATCTAAGTGCAAGGGAACTGAGAAATGTGGGGGAGCTTGTGGATATATTCTGCATATGGTAAATATAGCTGCCACACTTGGGGGAGATTTTTAGGCTACTCAGACAGTACCCACTAGGGTGGCATTACTTAGGCAAATTCATCACAGTCCAGGGGCTCAGGGGTGCAGGCTTAGAAGGCTATTATGTAAATGTACCAAGAGCGAATCTATCTTTCAGGCGTAGATTCACATTTAACTAGCGCATAGAGACTGATGTATAGAGCCAGAATACCAATTTTTTATATGATAAGCGTAATCACAGAATGGATTAGATTAGAGCATTTTCTCTCCATTTGCATATCTGTTTGGGAAGCCAAATTATAATTATAAATAAATAAATTATAATCAGAAAGCGGCTTTATGACTGTGGAGCTGAAATGAGGAGAGTCAGCAAAATGGACCTAAATGGCAGATGTCATCAAGACATAAGCTTCCCCACTTTAACAATGCATTAGAATCCCATCATAATGCATTTAATTTACTTGAATTTAACTATATTTATTTTTGGGGGCGCCTGGGTGGCTTAGTCAGTTGGGTATCTGCCTTTGGCTCAGGTCATGATCCCAGGATCCTGGGATCGAGCCCCACATCAGCCTCTGCTCAGCAAGAAGTCTGCTTCTCTCTCTCTCCCTTCTGCCCCTCCCCCTGCTTGTGCTCTTTCTCTTTCTCTCGAGCATTGTCTCTCAAATAAATAAATAAAATCTTTAAAAAAAATACATTTATTTTTGGAACAACCATGGTCCATAATTTAAGCCAACAACTTTATCTAGTACTCAACAAAACAGTGAGGTGTTCCAGCACTAGAGAAAAACCTGGCAGTATTGGGCTTGTGCACTGGGATATCACTCTACTATGCTTTATAGATTATTTGCAGGATTTTCAAGGATAACTTGGACAGCACTCAGTTTTTGCCTTATGCACCATGTATGGTAGCTTGCCTCAAAAATGGCTCTCAACAATCCCACCTTCTACTGCTCAGACCCTTGTGTAGTCTGCTCCCATGTTTCACCAGGGTTGGTCTGTGTGACCAACAGAATATTCAGCAGTGATGGTATGTTACTTCTGAGATTAAGTTATAAAAACTGCATTTTATGTTTTGGTAGATGTGTGTGTGTCTTTCTCTCTCGTCACTTGCTCTGTGAGAAGACACCTACCCCTTGTGAACTGCCTTAAGGAGAGGCTGATCAACAGCGCCATGAATGGGCTTGGAAGCAGACCCTTTAGCCCGTCAAGACTCGGATGCCTGTAGTCTGGCTGACACCTTGGCTCAGCCCTCTGAGACCCTGAACCAGAGGCACCAGCCTAAGCTGTGCCAAATTCCTGACCTACAGAACCCAAGATAATAAATGTTTATTTTAAATGACTACGTTGTGAGGTAGTTTTGTAGCAACAGATAACTAATACACATACTGTCTCTTTATTCATTTTTTAATTTTATTCTGAAAATTTCAAACACATACAGAGGTATAGAGAATATGTAATGAGCTCTGATGAACTATCACCCAGGTTCAACAATTTCTCACTCATGGCCAATTATTTATGCCTCCACCTACTTCTCCTCACGCTCTGGATTATCATGAAGCAAACCCATTGCTTTGAAGTAAACCCATTGACAGACATCATATACTTTCATTGGCAAATATTTCAGGATTTAGCCCTAAAATACAAGGGTTCTTAAAGAAAGTAACCATGTCAACTATACTTCAATTAAAAAAGTTACTTTAATACCAGTATCACATCTATGGTACACAGACTCTAAATGTGACCCCGTAATTCCCGCCTCCTTGTTTATGCCTTTTTATAATCACTTCCCTTTGAGTGTGACTTGCCTCTCACCAAGGAAGTATGACAAAGATATATCCCATTGGGATATATGTGATTACATGTACATGATTCCACGATTGTGCTACTTACATAAGGCTGTCGCGCCAGTCTTGCTGGAAACTCTCTCTTGCTCACTCAGAGGAAGCAAAGTACCATGTTGTGGAAGCCTCTGGAAGCTGAAGGCAGCCTCTAGCCAACAGCCAGGACCAGAGGGAGGCTCTGAGTCCTAAAATAGCAAGGCACTGAATTCTGCCAACCTGAGTGGCTTGGAAGCAGACCTTTCCGCCCAGAGAACCCAGCCGTATCTAACACCTTGATTTCAGCCTCGCAGAGCATACAGCTAAACCATGCCTGGACTCCTGACCCACAGAACCAGTGATAGGACAAATGTGTGTGTGTGTATGTGTGTGTATGTGCTTAAGATTTTATTTATTTGACAGAGAGAGGTGGGGATGGGGGAAGCGCACAAACTGGGGGAGAGGCAGAGGGAAAGAGAGAAGCGAGCTCTCTGCTGAGCAGGGAAGCCCTATGTGAGGCTCAATTCCAGAACCCTGAGATCATGACCGGAGCCGAAAGCAGACGCTTAACCACTGAGCCACCCATGCTTCCCCAAATGTGTGTTGTTTTACACCATTAAATTTGTGGTAATGGTCACACAGCAATAGAAAACCATTACAGCATTTAAAAAATTAGAAAGTTACTTAATATTTTTGAATGTCCAGTTAATGTATCTATTTCCCTGTCTTACAAAATTTTTTTATAGGAGATCTCTCCTAGATCCAACTTGGCTGGGCCTTGCTGATGCTTGTCTCCCTGAGCAACCTTTACCGGGGCCTCCATTGCTGACCAGCCCTGTCTTTTCACTTCGATCAGATCAGATTATAGTCAAGCTATTCCATTCCTTTAATGTTGTCAGACATTGCCCAATACCCTTGAGGTAGGGGGGCAGGGGGCAAAATCAATCACCCTGGTTGCTTTAAGTTGACTTGTTTTTTCCTTCTCTGATTTGCTTTAAAATTTTTTAATTTATATATATAAATATTTTAAAGATTTTACTTATTTCTTTGAGAGAGAGAGCATGAGCAGAAGGGTGGGGGAGAGGCAGAGGGAGAGGGAGAGGGAGAAGCAGACTCCCTGCTGAGCAGTGAGCTGATGCAGGACTCCATGCAGGGCTCAACCTGGGGCTCAGTCTGGGGCTCGATCCCAGGACCCGGAGATCATGACCTGAGCCGAAGCCAGACACTTAACCATCTGAGCCACCCAGGCACCCCTTATTTTATATATATATTTTTATGGTTTAACTCTCAGAGGGTAGATTATTTGCCTCTTTCCAAGTTCTTCAGGGTGGAAATCCCCCTTGCTGTTGCTCCTTATGCATTTTCTGCAAATTAGGTGCCCAGCAGGGATCTGATTTTGCAGCCTGTGGGTCAGATCTGCTGTGCAGCAATCTGACATGGTTGGTAAAAAGCAATTTGCTGTCTCCTGTGTATAAAACACTGTGCTAGAAGCTGGCGGGGTGGAGAGTGGGGGTTGGGGGAGCAAGCTGCAAAGGAGATTAGAGAGGGAGCTTACAGAGCTCTCTGGGGACTCTAACTGGGGAGACTGGCTCATCCTTTCATGACAAGATAATGAGCACTTGTGCTGGTCTGTGATTAGGACCTGCATATAGCACAGCCAGAGCAGTATTGAAGAGCAGCGCTTAGAAAGACAGGGGCACGAGCAAAGATTCAGAGATGAATACGCAAAGCATGTCCGCATTTTGTCGACAAGTTTCTACACCTAGAAAGTAGTTGTTAGGTTTTGTGGGGAACAGAGAGAGAAGCAGAAGAAAGTAATACATTGTCAATCCAGTTGAAGAGATAGCATGTAAGCACAAGGACAGATAAATAATATGGAAAGCTATTCTTGTTGTTGTTGTTGTTTTAAACTATTAAAACCTATAGAAAGGACTTGGGAGCTGTGGCCATTGTGAGTCATCCCCCGTGTATGAGAAAGTGTAGAACTGCGTTCTCCAAGTGTGGTTCCCTGGACAAGTGGCATCTGCATCACCTGGGAGCTTGTTAGAAAGCAAATTCTCCCAGCCCCCTTCCCAGACATACCGAATCAGAAGCTCTGGTTTTTAACAGGCCCTCCAGGTGATTCCGGTGCATACTGAAGTTTGAGAACCACTGGTGTTCAGGCTTCCAGACGTAGCCACTGCTTTCTTCCCGCCAAAGCCGTAACTGTCTACGCAGCTCGATCACATCACTTGCAAATATACATGGCTTCAACACCCGCCAACTGTACCAATATACTTGCTGCTCTGTGCAGTTCTGGAGGAGCTGTTGTGGTGGTGGTGGTGGCTTTAGTAGCTTCCAGTTCTGTTCAACATAGAAAAATTAGCTGTGCTCAGGTGGGAGCTGTTCAGTAATGTGTTGGTAATAAACAGATTCGTTAATCAGCCATGATTTATTAATGATGAATTAATTATACCTGATTGTGCAGTTCTGCTAGCCAAATGGAGCTTTAAAGGAGTTATTTTATTAATCATCACAGTGCTAATTGCAGACACTTACAGAAGGACCACTAATTAAACATGCAACCATATGCAAAACAAGTTGGGCCGCTGAGACCTGCAAGAATAAGAAACACCGAGTTTTAGGGGATCTAAAACAAACTTTGTTTTATACAATATTAGGCGGTTGGCTTGGTAATGTTAATCATTCACTGCAAATAAATATTGTAATCTTTTCCAGCAGGAATTGATCCTCCTATCAAAAAAGCGTATAGTACTCTAGTGAGATTCTGTTAAAGGGGAAGACTGTTCAATCTTCTTTTCTGTTTTGCACACATGCAAACTGCTATACTGTACCAGTCCTTTGTGCCAGAGAACATCAGGTGAGTGGGGGGGAGGTTGTGAACTCTTAGAGACCAGGAACACCCTGTGTATTAAATCACAGTAAGCAGATTCACAGCCTTGTGCTGTTGGAGCAGAAAAAGAAATGAGACTGTTCAGTCAAGGGGGCATCAGGAAAAATTAAGGATAGCTAAATAAGGGGAGATGGTTTTAAATTTTTAGCTCAAGATTGATTAAAGCCATTTCATGACTTTTTGCTGTTCTGCAGCATCCGAACACCATCCTCCTTGGATGGGAAATTGTAATCGTGAGTGGTCAAGGAGGTAGCGCCCAATTTTCACTGAGGAAGCCAAAGTGGCCAGATGCTACCTCTCCCTGCAAATCAGGCTGTGGGCATGCTACTCAGGCTCAGCCAAATCCGAAACGATCTCCTGGGAATTTGGATCCCGAACAAAGGCAGCAGTACTGTGGAGGTGGCTGGAAGCCCTGGTCCCTGCAGTGGCTGCTCCATGAGCTCATCTAGAATTCTGACAGTTTGGAGAAGGTGCTCGGAGTAATGGCTACAGGAATACTTGTGTAATTTTGGCCCAATAGGTAATACAGACAAGTCTGTATGGTAGGATGATAATGAGGATGCTGATGACACCATCAGGTTGTCCTGATTTCTTGGACGCCCCCCTCCACCCCCCCGCTTCCTGCACATTCCCTAGTCTGTTCATTAGATTAGGATTGAGCATGTGATACAACTCTGGCTAATGACACATGAAGGTAAGTTTTCCGTTCAGGGTACAGAGAACCTGGAGTGGGGTGAACCAGCATTTGGCATGCATAGGTTTACTTAATCCCCCAGGTTTAGGTATGGCATCCCTCCCTCATCTGTGCTTGGTGTCCCTGAGTACAGAGATCTTCTGTTTTATATTCTCCAAAGAAAAAAATCAAGTTTTCCCAGAGTGGGGAGAGGGAACTGCCCAGTGTGTGAAATTGCGCACATCCATATTACATGTTTTTGATTTTATTTCTTATTTTATTATTATTATCACATGTATTTTAACGTATGTATACAATGTGTATCTACCATCTAGATCATGACATAAAATATTTCCATCACACAGAAGATTCCCTCATTCCCTTTCTCAGTAAAAAAAAACTCTCATTTTTTTTTTTTTAAAGTTTATTTATTTATTCGAGAGAGAGAGGATGCATACAAGCAGGGGGAGAGGCAGGCAGAGGGAGAAGTAGGTTCCCCGCAGAACAGGGAGCCCGACGTGGAACTCGATCCCAGGACCCTGGGACCATGACCTGAGCCGAAGGCAGACACCTAACCGACTGAGCCACCCAGGCTCCCCTGCTTTTTTAATTTTTTTTTTAAATTTATTTATTTATTTGACAGAGAGAGACACAATGAGAGAAGGAACACAAGCAGGGGGAGTGGGAGAGGGAGAAGCAGGCTTCCTGTGGAGCAGGGAGCCCGATGCAGGGCTCGATCCCAGGACCCTGGGATCATGACCTGAGCCGAAGGCAGGCGCTTTAACGACTGAGCCACCCAGGCGCCCCCAACTGGATATTTTATAACCACTTTTTTTTTTTTTTTTTTTTTGAGATTGGGAGCAGGCGCATCCCTGAGGTGGGGGAGAGGCAGAGAGAGAGAGAGAATCTTTTTTTAAAAATTAATTAATTAATTAATTAATTAATTTTGATGTAGTGTTCCATGATTCATTGTTTGCGTATAACACCCAGTGCTCCGTTCAACACGTGCCCTCTTTAATACCCATCATCAGGCTAACCCATCCCCCCACCCCCCTCCCCTCTAGAACCCTTAGTTTGTTTCTCAGAGTCCACAGTCTCTCATGGTTCGTCTCCCCTTCCGATTTCCCCCCTTCATTTTTCCCTTCCTACTATCTTCTTCTTTTTTAACATATAATGTATTATTTGTTTCAGAGGTACAGATCTGTGATTCAACAGTCTTACACAATTCACAGCGCTCACCATAGCACATACCCTCTCCAATGTCTATCACCCAGCCACCCCATCCCTCCCACCCCCCACCACTCCAGCAATCCTCAGTTTGTTTCCTGAGATTAAGAATTCCTCATATCAGTGAGATCATATGATACATGTAGAAAGAGAGAATCTTAAGCAGGCCGCACACACAGCAAGCAACCCGTCATGGGGCTAGGTCTCAGAACCCTGAGATCATGACCTGAGCCAAAATCAAGAGTCTGACGCTTAACCTACTGAGCCACCCAGGCCCCTCTCTATAACCATTTCTGAAACACCTTTCAACCAGTCTTGTTCTTTCAGCACCCTCACCTTATCTTATTTACAGCACTCCCACCTTCAAATTTCACGGGTACTTAGTGCTGCTGATTCCTGAGCCTTTTGAGGATCCAGTCACGGTTCTTTTCTTTCCCTACTGCCAGTGTAGAATCTGACCCTCAGTTCATTTAAGTTGATAAGCACTTGTTCATTTTTAGCTTCTAAATTTGTATTGTTGTTACTCCTCACTATTCTCTTGATCCTTGTGAACTATGCCTTTAAAAAAATTATCTTTCCCATATGACCCAGTAATTTGATTCCTAGGCAAGTACCCCTAAGAACTGAAAACAGTGACTCCGCACATACCTGTATAGCGATGCTCATAGCAGTATTGTTCACCCTAACCAAAAGGTGGAAACAACCCAATTGTGCATCAGCAGATGAATGGACAAACCAAATCGGCATATACAGAAAATGCAATGTCATTCAGTCATAGGAAAGGAATTAAGTTCTGCTATGTGCTACAGTAGGGGTGGACCTTGAAAATATTATGTTAAGTGAAATCAGCCAGATGCAAAAGGACAAATACTGTGTCACTCTACTTATATGAACTATCTAGAATAGGAACATTCATAGTGACAGAAAGCAGGTTAGGTTACCAGGAGCCAGGGGAAGGGGAGAATGGAGAGTTATTATTTATTTATTTATTTATTTATTATTATTTTTTTAAAGATTTTATTTATTTGACAGACAGAGACCCAGCGAGAGAGGGAACACGAGCAGGGGGAGTGGCAGAGGGAGAAGCAGGCTTCCCGTGGAGCAGGGAGCCCGATGCGGGACTCGATCCCAGGACCCTGGGACCATGACCTGAGCCGAAGGCAGACGCTTAACGACTGAGCCACCCAGGTGCCCCGAGAGTTATTATTTAATGGTGACAGTTTCTGTTTCAGGGTGATGAAAGAGTTTGGGAAATAGGTAGTAGTAAAGGGTTGCTGTCTTAATCATCTGGGGCTGCTGTAACCAGATATCATAGAATGGGCAGCCTCAAGAACAGAGATTTATTTCTTCCAGTTCTGGAGGCTGGGAATTCCAAGATCAAGGTTTTGGCAGATTTGGTTCCTGATGAGAATTCTCTTCCTGGCTTGTGGACAGCTACCTTCTTGCTGTGTGCCTGACATGCCTTTCTTCCATGCATGTACATGGAGACAGAGATCTCCCTTCTATTATAAGGGTGTTAATCTCATCACGAGGGCCCAGCTTCAAGACTTAATCTAATTCTAATTACCTTACACCCCAAATACCATCATGTTGCTGATTACGATTTCAACCTATAAATTTGGAGGGAACACAAACATTCAGTCCATAACAGTTACACAACACTGTGAATGAATTCAATGCCACTGAGTTGTACAACTAAAATGGGTTAAATGGGAAAGTGCCAATGAAGTGTGCAAAATAAACATTCTTTAAAAAAGAAAAAATGGGGTAAATGGCAAGTTTTGTATTTATGTTACCACAACAAAATTTTTTTTTTAAAGATTTTATTTATTTATTTATTTGAGAGAGAGGGAGTGAGAGAGAGAATGAGCAGGGAGAGCAGCAGAGGGAGAAGGAGACCACTCGCGGAGCAGGGAGCCCGAGGCGGGACTCCATCCCAGGACCCTGGGATCATGACCTGAGCCGTAGGCAGCCGCTTAACCAACTGAGCCACCCAGACGCCCCTCAACAAAATATTTTTAAAAATACCTTTATTCTAATTTAGTGGAGTTTGGAATTGAACTAAATTAGAGGCCTGTGTTTGTTATTTTTCCCTCTCTTTGGCATTATCCTTTTTCCTGTCAAAATAAACTTACAGAAAAGTTTGTAGTATAGCAGAAAAATGTTCCCCCCTGGGGAGCCTGGGTGGCTCAGTCGGTTGGGCGTCTGCCTTCGGCTCAGGGTGTGATCCCAGGGTCCTGGGATTGAGTCCCGCATCAGGCCCCCTGCTCAGCGGGGGTCTGCTTCTCCTTCTGCCTCTGCCTGCTTGTGCCTCTCCCTCTCTCTGTCAAATAAATAAATAAAATCTTAAAAAAAAAAAAAGAAAAATGTTCCCTCCATGAACTATTCAAGAATTAATTTGCTAATCTGATACTCCAGTATCCCAAATACTTTGGTATGTATTTCCTGAGAACAAGGACATTTTCTTTTTTCTTTTTTTAAAGACTTTATTTATTTATTAATTTGAGAGAGAGAGCACGGGGGCGGGGGGCAGAGGGAGAAGGATAAGCAGACTCCCAGCTGAGTGTGGAGCCCCTGTGGGGCTTGATCCCAGAACCCTGAGATCCTGACCTGAGCTGAAGTCAGACACTTAACCAACTGAGCCACCCAGGCACCCCAACAAGGACGTTTTCTTAAATACATATAATAAAATCGTCAAAATCTGGAAGCTAACTTGGATACATTACTACTCATTCATCTTCAGACCTGATTCACATTTCAACATTCCTTTATAACAATATGCCCTTTAT